ATTGTTACCTCAAATCTTTTTCTGTTCTTTTCCAGATGTTTGGACCATACTCCAGGATTAAAATGCTGGATTGATATGATGAAGCTAGATCCAGCTGTTAAGGCTACAATAACTGATCCTCAAATCTTCAAGGGTTATCTTGAACTATATTTCAATAATAGTCCTGAGGCCTGTGATTATGGCCTTTGAAAACTATGGGAAGCTTTTTCAGTGGATGACAAGGGATATTGATAGCTATTGCTCCAGCATGTCATCTGATATCAGTTTTGTTGTGCTCTGTGTTGTGTTATTCAATGAATATATAATTGGACTGAAATAGTAATTATTTGCAATTTGTTTCCCTTTCGAAAGGAAAATGGCCAACATTCATCAGGAAGAAAACCTTTTTTTACCCTTATCTTTCTACCAATTAACTGACAATGTTGATTTTTTTTGCCTTGTTTATCGGTTTAGGAGAGACATCAATTTGACTTTGTTTCTGTCTTTGACTTTTTTATTGTCTTTCAGGAATAAAAACACTTCAAATGCAGAGGTTTCCTTTTATTTGCAGCAGCAAGTTAAGATATATAGGAGGGTATGGGATCATATATTTTATTACCAAGCTATAGCCATTCCAATTTGTATTCTCATAGGGAAATGGATAGTAAATTGGAGCAGATTGGCATGCATAGAAAACTATTGTTCCTAGAGCAATGGGTTTTTGGTCTGGGAAGTTACTTTGGTTTTTTGTACTGTCTTTCAGCATGGCAGAGAGAATGAGCCATGACTATTTTTGTGAGCATCTAAAAATGTAATTCTCACACTGTTGCTAAGACTGACTATAGGTATTCCTCACTTAAAACAAGCTACAACACACTGAAAAAAGTGACTGGTTTTTGCCCTTACACTTGTCACAACATTGTCACAGTCATGTGATCATGATTTGAATCCTTGGCAACTGTTGTGCATTTATGATGGGAACAATATCCTCAATTGCCATTTGTGATCTTCCCAGATACTTTCAGCAAGCAATATCAATATATTAGTCTAATATATTTAGATGAAATCAGATTGGGGAAGGCAACTATATAGGAAGGATTTTGTTTTGTTCACTGGCACTTAAATTGAGATCAGTATGATAAATGCACACTTCTGATTTTCATTTACTAGTATTTATCTCAGGACATGACCTTCCATCTCAGGCTTGAACTTAACTTTGTCAGTCTCAACCATAAATTTATTGTTCCATATTTAAGTCTTTGCTTTAAATCAAAGTAAAATTGGAGTGTTAGATAGTGACTCTCTGGTTCAGGTGTTAGGGTTGGCTAATCACACTTGGCCGAATAAAGCATTCAGTTCAATTCTAATTGAGAATAGTATTCTCTTCTAACCCAGGCTCCTGTTTGCTTCAGAAAATTTTGCATTGGCGTGAACTGTGATTCGTATTGCCTTGCCTGGTGCTGGTCTGTAGCAGCATGAGTATCCTCCAAGTAATAATGCTTGAAAAGCAGGTTAACCTAGATAGGCACAGTTGCATCAAACATGAATCCCCACATAAACGAGATGTGCATCTATATGGTACAAAGTTGCACATATCTTTCTGCAAATTTGAATGGATGCTTAAAGCACAGTTAACAGGTTCAAAATAACAAAACTATGAGTAGGTCAGACATTGGTTACTGGTATGTTTCTAGGTGCAATTCAAAGTACTGGTTGTCACCTTTGAAACCCTAAGTGGCTTGAAACTGGGTTACCTGCCGGATTGCCTTTCTCCAAAAGTCTCTACCCACCCAATTCAGTTTAGTAGGTTGGGCACATTTGAGGGTTTGTTGTGGTATCTTAACTGTTCCTAGCATTTTTTATTTTACTTATTTGTATTGTGTCTTTATTATTTTTACAAATATATGCAGATGTTCCTGTACACAATGCCAGTTATATGTACAATATATTAAACTATAACCTGCTAAAGAGTTATTGAGATGGGTGGCTATTGACATTGAACAAATTAAATAAACCAATAACAATAAAAATACATACAATAGTGACAATTACCAATATTAGCACTAATCCTCGGTCATAAATAGAGGTACAGAATTAGGCAATCTGGGAAGATTTCTAGTGAGTTTTCTAGAGCATTTTTTTGTAGTAAGTTTTTTTCCAACCTGTAATTTAAACTTTTGCAGGCCTGCTGGATACCTGTTTGGGAAAAACCTGCTCATACTTTGATCTGTACAATCTACATATTTTGTTAATATTTTCTAAAACTGGGATTTAAAACTGGTTGCAAGTTTAAATTGTTAAAAGTGTTAAATTTTAGTTGCTATTAGTGGGAGTAGGGCGAACATATTTTTGATGAGAACTTATTTCAAAACTCAATGTGGCAATAATGTGCAATACTGTAAAAATTCACTGATCTGCAATATAGAACCAAGGTTGAATTCCTGTGCAAACCAGAATAAGAGAAAAACATTTCAAAATTGCTGAGGGACAAACAGAAGCTTTTGGAATTAAAGTTGAGATAGCTAAATAAATAGATATTGGGCACCGGTAGGGAACGGGGAAGGAGCAGCCAACGGCCAGCCGATGTCTGGGTGCTGAGTAGCTGGGAGTCGGCGAGGTTGCCATGCGCCGCCAGACTCCCGAGGACTAGCTGGGAGTCGGCAAGACCATCATGCACCGTGGCCGCCTCCCAACATGTCGCCAGATGCCAGAGAAGCCTCAAACGCCGGCTGGGCGAGTCAGCTGGATGCCGGAGGGGCCGCCGCTCGCCTCCGCCGCCTCTCTATCTGGGCACCGGGGGAAGTCCCACAACCCGGCTGCACATCGGAAGCAAGCCAGCCGGAGGTTGGAGGGACTGCCTCCCGCCTCGGTTACCTCTCCCTCTCGTTGGGCGCCGGGGGGAATTCCCGGAAGCCAGCTGGGTGGCGGAGACAACCAGCTGCATGTCGGGAAGGCGTAACCTGCCGCTGCCGCCCCTCCTGTGTTGCTGACGGTTGGGGAGGGTGCCGGTTGTCGTGGAGAGCCACTTTCCGGTAAAGGAGCGTGGGGAAGTCTGTCGTAGCACCATGCTGGTGGCAGGGAAGGAGCAGGACATTAGCTGGTTGCCGGATAGAACAGCAGGACCTGCGGAAGCTGCGATGATGTGTCCGGAGGGGAAAAAGGCAGAACTTGAACTGCGACTTATATCAATACGGACCAGGTGCTGGCTTGCTGATTGGGATGGGTTTGGAGGGCGTGGTACGTCTATGTAAGGCACTGGGAGCAATCCACTCCCAGTGCTGACTTTTTCTTTTGCATGCATTAAAGGTTTTGCTGGTCACGTTCCTGGCAGACGGAGGACAGCGGACAACTGAGTTATTTTCTACTGCTGAAAGAACTTTCTACAATCATTTTCAATGCAATGAAAGGAAGTGTGTTTCTGAAAAAAGCATTCATCTACCTACTAATAAAACTCTTATGTATGTAACCTTTAACTGAGTATAACAATGCATTGCAGGGCAATTTTCAGTTAAGGTACCTCAAATGGGCTAAATTGCAGAATGTGTTCAAAATCTGGAACCCATGACTCCCATGGAATGGAAATTTGGCAAATTTTATATTAAAAAGCTATCACATAAAAATTATCATAAAGCTTTTTCTAACATGTAATACAAAATGTCATAAAACATTTCCTTTTGTGAACTGCTGATGTTTGACTGTGCTATAAGTTCAACAAGGACTACCTTTCAAGCCACATGCATCTCTTGAGTATCTTCCTGAATTTTTAAGAACTTTTCAGTACATTAGGAGCTCGGCTATTCTTGAAGGCATTGAGGAATCTGGTAAGGTAGTATCTCTTAAACAATGACCCAGCATATTGTCTACTTCTTTTATAAACTTTCCTTCAGATATATCCTCTTATTGTTATATTCTTAGCTATTGGTTAATTTTTTAAAAAAATATACTGTATACATTATGAGATATCAATTACAATCAGCATTTTACAGAATGTAAAAGGTATCTTAGGGAGGGGGGATTTATTTTCCCTTTCTGGTCATGATTTTAAGTCTGCACAACCAGTAAGCATTTTTTTAACTTTAAGTGACACGCACAAGAAAAAAGTTTTATGGATTTATTTATTTATACAAATATTAATACACCAACCCAATACAGAGATTCTGGGCATTTTACCAGTCAAAAACACCTAGCCCCAACAAAAGTCGTCCAATATTTAGTAGCATAAATAATAATACACAAGAATATACCTTCATTTTAAATATAGCTGCTGATGGTAGTTTCATATCTACCTTCCTGTGTTGGTTGCATAGCTACCTGCATCATCAAGCAAGTTGCCCGATTTACACATTAAGTTGAATCACAGGGCTTAGCAGTGCTTTTTTTCTTAAAAAAAAAAAAAAGTGCCAGAACTCATACAACCCACCTTGCCTATCCTACAGGTGCCGGAACTCCGTTCTGGGCATTCTATGAGAAACAAAAGCTCTGGGGCTTACTATAGGTCCTACGTTACTGGGGTTTACATGACATGACTTATCCTTTAGCTTTGTATGGAATGTTTTGAATTCTCTCCTAAGAAAATTACACGCTGACGTCCGAAGACCGAGAAAACAAAAATAAACCCGGGTAGAGGATGTGGAGTAGAATCCATTTGTCGTATTGTTCTTACACCTTTTAATTCTTGTATTTGACTTTTAAACCTATATTTACATAGTCGATGGAATTTGCATTCTTCCTAACTGCGCTTATATGAATGGAGCCCCACAGTTAACCAGTAACTGTGTCCCAGAGTTTGCTATGTGGAATTATTTACCGTGATATCAATTCGCTCAGTCTGCAAAGTAGTTTACTTCGCAATCAATCACTCAACTCGAAGTTCTTTAGCATTCGGCAGAGGGAGATGGTGCCTACCAATGAAGAGGGATGAGCCAAACTGCTTCGAGAGGCTGGTGAAGAGAAAAGAGATAACCTTAGGGATTCCGATGTGCACAGTTGGTTCTGTTTTCTGTCTGGTGGCACAAAGTAAGATGTCCGGGGAATTCGCTAAAAGCTTGGGAAAAGGTGAGAAAGTGCTCTGATCCAAGGAGGAGCGCGTTTATCTAACTCAACTGGGTTAAGGCAACCCTCGTTTCTAGGGCTATTGGTTGTCGGCCTGGGCTGGTCTTCACGTACATCGTTTTTCAAGAGCTGGGGGACGACATGCTATGGAGTTTAGGGAGGAATATCGTGTCGTTAAGGTTGTTACCCCTGATCCCTGGTGTTGTGTGGTCAGAAGCGATAAATGGATTTCACTATTATTGGGATAAAAAAAATGTTACATATCTAAAATTGTACAACCAAATAAATATGTGTTGAGGGCGTGTACATTTCTAATGTGCCTTTTAGTGGAATGTGTGCTCCGATATGCAGCCTTGCCCCAGTATATTTACTTTATGCATGTTAACAGATATTAAACTTGAGTGCATAAAATTGCTTATAATTTGGCCAATAAGGAATATTTTAACAAAAGGACTTTGTATTCTGCCGACTCATTCATTGCTATTATGACTTAAAATTTAATATTTATATTTGTAAAACACATGAAGCTTGGGTAATTTTAATCTTGGTTGATTGAATTAACTTTATTTGGATTTTTGCAACAGACTGAACTATACACAAAAAACACTGGGTGAATTTGTACAACACAGAGCCATAAACATAGTTCACAAGCTTAGCATATATATAAAGGCAGGCTGTGTAAACTATTGGAATGAGTAACAATAATTACTAGGTAGATAGAGAATATTTGTTTTGAGGGTTTTATTCCCTACCTTTTTTTCTCTCTCTTTTCAGATCACAACTGAGCCCAAAATTTCTGTTGCTAAGTGAGACTTTTATTAAGTGAGTTTTGCCCAGTTTTATGACCTTTCTTGCCACAGTTGTTAAATGAATCACTGCAGTTAAGTTAGTAACACAGTTGTTAAATGAATCTGGCTTCCCCATTGACTTTGCTTGTTAGAAGTTTATGAAAAGTGATCACATGACCCTGGGACACTGCAACTGACATAAATATGAGTCAGTTGCCAAGCGTCTGAGTTTTGATCATGTGACCATGGAGATGCTGCAGTGGTCATAAGTGTGAAAAATGGTAATAAGTCACTTTTTTCAGTGCCATTGTAACTTCAAACAGTCACTAAATGAACTGTTGTAAGTTGAAGATTACCTGTTTATACTTCTTCCTGCCCTATTTTTTTGAACAGTGGCTTATTGTTTGTAGTATAGAATGTAAGTTTTGTTAATTCTGACCAAAGATTTATATATATCTTTCAGGAACCCTTGCTCCAGGGCCAGTACCCGAAGGAATCATCCGTGTCTACAGTATGCGTCACTGTCCTTTTGCACAGAGAACACGACTCGTCCTAAAAGCCAAAGGAATCAAGTATGAGCAGATACTTTGCCTTCCATATTCATTAGGGCTTAATATAAAAATACCAACAGCTTTTTAGTTGAAAATTAGCAGAGGGTTGGTAGATATTTGGGCTTATAAACATTGCCTTTAAAGACATTTGCTTCCCTTCTCTTAATGCTATAGAACATTTTCAATTTCAGATTTGTTTTCAATAGGGGATTCTGCTCCAGAGAGATTTCATATGAAAACTAGTTTAAAAATATAATGGAGAAATTGATGGATAGCTTAAAGGGAGAGAAGTAGTTGTTTTCTTTTAAAATCCTGGCAAGTATTGCTCTGATTATAAAATATGTTTTCCAGATCATTTGTAGGATTTCTTGTCTTGCTGCTGATTGGAGATCATCATCTCAGAACTGATTGCATGAGTAGATTATTGGTTTTAGATGATGAAGTATTTCAGGCATAGGCTTGCCTGAATTACATTCCTTTTGGGATTCCAAAGCAAATTGAAGGAATGTGACATTTGGTTATATTTTTTTTAATAGTGTCTCCTCTCTCCTTTTACATAGTGAGCATTTGCCTATGATCCATTTTATTATAATGGTAAGTTGTTTTTTGTATGAACAACCCTAGGACATGTTTTTGTTTTTGTTTAAAAAAAGACTGTCCTCCCTGCCATACAAGTTAAGTTAAAGTCAGGATTCTAGAGATGAGTTTTATTTCTGGTGGCTTCGTAGATAGGTCTCTCCATTCAGATTTTTTGGCAACAATATGAAAGTGAATAACCATTGCTTTTTCAGGGTGATCTTTTTATTTCCAGGTGATTTCCTATCCTAATGCTAATGAAGACTGCTGCTGTTGAACTTCTGTGATCATCTACATGCTACTGAAAGATAAAACTTGCTTTACCATGACTTTAATATATGGTGATTATACTAGGGAAAGGTTATTGTGAAGTAATCCAAATGTGAGTTACTTTCCTAGTCATGCCAGGAAATCCAAAACTATGATGGAGCACAGTGTCAGATTGAAATGTTCTGGTTGTTGTTCTGGTTGTCCTGGTTAGATGGTGCAGAGACAACTTTATATAGAGACACACCAATATATCCATAAATCAGAATCCCAAAGTCTTCTTTTTCTGTTTCCAAGAGTTAGAATTACCATGCTGCATTTTTCAAACAGCATACAACAGGAAATTACCAGTCATATCTTTTTCTTTACATTTTTGATCCTGCCTTTATTATTTTTACAAATAGGTCAAGGTTTTGAACATATCCAACATACCTCCCTCCTCTTATTTTTCCCACCAAGACTTTGAACCTCCTTGTTTTTGTATAGCTGGTCTCAGTAGCATATTCCTGAAAGAATTAACTTGGTGATTTCATCTCATTCTACTTAGTCACGAAATTGTTAATATCAATTTGAGAAACAAACCAGAGTGGTTTTTTGAGAAGAACCCACTTGGATTGGTACCTGTGCTAGAAACAAGCAAGGGTCAGCTGATCAGTGAATCCCCAATCACTTGTGAATATTTGGATGAAGCTTACCCAGAAAATAAGTTGTACCCTGCGGACCCTTATGAAAAAGCTTATCAGAAAATGCTTCTGGAATACTTCTCCAAGGTACTACTGAAGCATAGCAAGAAATTTATTTTATTTTATTTTTATTTTTTTTCATTTTAGTGTGGACGATTTGACTAAAACTAATACAGGTAATCCTCGACTTAACAACAGTTCATTTAGTGACCATTTGAAATTACAACATCACTGAAAAAGTGATTTATGACCATTTTTCATACTTATAACCATTGCAGCATCCCCATGGTCAGACAATTGACAACTGACCCATATTTATAACAATTGCAGTGTCCCAGGGTCATGTGTTCACCTTTTGCGACCTTCTCACAAAGTCAGTGGGGAAGTCAGATTCACTTAACAACCATGTTACTAATTTAACAAGTGCAGTGATTTACTTAGCAACTGTGGCAAGAAAGGTTGTAAAATGGGGCAAAACTCACTTCACAAATGTCTCAGTAACAAAAATTTTGAACTCAGTTGTGATTGTAAGTGGAGGACTACCTGTAGTTGATATTTTGATATTGCATTGATAAATCTATTTGAAAATATGGCTTTCTTCTTTGATTCTTAATATGTATTTGAATAGGTAAAATGAATTCTACCAAAGAATAAATTCATTGGTGGAAGGAAAGTTAATCATCCATTTTAAGATAACCAGGCAATACAATCTCATGCTAGGTAGTGGTTTAGGGTTTAAATTATGACTGACTCAATGCTTTAAAACTAGCTGCTTCTGCTATAATATACTTTCTACGATATCTTGCACAAATAACACCTAAAATGTAGTGATTTGATTAGAAACATTATTAGAACTATATGAGGTAAATTTGGGAAAATAGGTGAAAGGGTCTGTAGTGATTGTGGAAGTTTTGTGACTCCTAGGTGAGAGGGAAAGTAGGATTTTATTATCTAATTATATTCTTTGATCCAGACTTGGAGCAGCCTCAATTTGAGTGTGGTGTGCTGAAGGGCAAAGATTTTATTAGTTTAGGTAATCGTTCCGTGTCTGTGTGGAAACTGTGTCAGGTGCAAAAAATCAGGTCTCCAATTCAGTTGAAGTATTGGAACTCATGCAGGGATATACTGAACTAGCACATGCTTGGAATTAGATAAGCTAGCAGGTAGCTATGCTTGGAGGTCAGTGAAATTCAATAGAGGCTGGACTTAGTTCACTTGATTCTAGGCTGATTCCCCTATTAACTGCCCCCAGGTTCAGCCAGAATTTTCCAGCTAGCATTTTGGGAGATGAAATCCACAAATTTTAAAGTTACTAAGGTTGAGAAACATTGCCTTAGATTATTTACTAAAGATCACGAAGAATATATCTAAGATTTTGGTATCATTCTTGAGCTCACATCCAACCTCTCCAACCACTCACACATCCTCCCTGGCCACTCACCAACAGGGCAACAGCCACCCCATGCCCTGTCACATTTGGATTGTGTTTTCTTCACCACTCGTGTAACCTTGTTCACTCTCTGTCCACCCTTCCGTGTCCTCTCCTATCTGGCTGCAGCCAGCCTAGGTCCCACTGTGCTTGCATGGTACCTCCCCCTCCATTTGCATGCTCTTGTGCACCTTCTTCCACCATGCCTATCTGCCACTTACGAACCCTTGTGCATCCTCTCTCATCCAGTAGCAGCCACCCCAAACTCACTGCACTCATGGCATGCTACTTGTCCATTTGTGCACTCTCAAGCATCATCTCCCACCAAGCAGCAACTACCCCAAGCCCTGATGTGCTTGGGTTATGCTTTCCTGGCCTGCTCCCTCTGCCATCTGGCAGCAGCCACTTGCCTGACAGCCTTCTTGCAAATCACCTAGTACTTGCCAGCTTTCCTGCTGAACCTGGTTGTTGGAAGATAGCAATGGTGAGGAGGCATTTGCTTAACAATCCACAATTCTTGTTTAACAGCAGGGATTGCTGATGCTAAGCAATGTGACACTTTGTCCAGTTGTTGTTGTAACACATATGATCCCATTCTTATTTATACGGACAATTTATTATCTTCTTCGTTGTTATTATCTCTATATTCCCATCATAATCTTTTGTTTCTTGAATGAAAATCCTATACTTTTATGCATCTTGGTAATGTATCATTTCTGATTTACCTAGGTACCTCCAATATGCATCAGCTATGCTCGGGCTATCAGGAATGGTGAAGATGCATCAGCATTAAAGAATGAGTACCAGAAGAAGCTTCTGAAGCTTGAAGAGGTAATAATTGATGACTTTAATTGGCAGAATAGTTCTGGAAGACATGAGACTTGGAACAGAATGAACCAGAGCAGAGGTCTCTAATCTTTCTGGGCTCATGGTCCGGAGGGAAGGAGAGCAGTTTCCAAATTGGTGTGCACGCAAACGGCGCCGCACATGCTGGTGCGGCACTAGCGTCTCCGTTTGCGCTTGCATACCTGCCCGGCACTAGCAGCCCCATTCACACATGTGCAAACAGGCCATGCACACACCCGCCCGGCACTAACAGCCCAGTTTGTGTATGCACCAATGGGCTGTGCACACCTGCCTGGCGCTAACAGCCTCGTTTGCACCCACATGCATGTGCAAACGGGCCATGGGTGCTAGCGCAAGTTAGGATTGCGTGCGCACATGTATGTACACTGGCTAGTCACTTCTACACCCCACTGGCCAAGAAGCTGCGGCCCATAGGTTGAGGATCCCTGAACTAGAGAATTCCCTGCATTCCTTGAATGCTGATTAACATACTGTATATGCTAGGTGAATTTTTCTATTCTGTTCCTATCAGTCGTTGCCATTTTAAGGACAATGTTGCTTTATATTATGTGATAATCTGATCCTAACAGTATCTTTTATAGAGGTACACTGAACTGTCAGATCTTCTAGTTTAAATAACTTCATGCAATTTATATGAAGTTGCTTGAATCTGTCCCCTAGGGGGAGCCATTCTCATACAGTACTTAAGCAGATGTGGTTTTGTCTGAGGCTATTTATTCCAGGCAAGTTACTTTTTTACAGGGGAGTTGCATGGGACAAATCTTAACAACTGTGTGTCCTTTATGTTTCTTGCATCTTTTAAAGATTTATGTAACTTGTAAAAAAAAAATATTTTAAGAAAAATCAGATCAGCACAAACTCAGGTATACATACATGTTTCTACCTATTCTTCCATAGAAAGGGAGGAGAGGAGCTTATAGATTCAGTAGAATGGAAAGAACACTGAAAAGAATCCACAGAGCAGCAGCATTAGGAATCAGGCTGCAACTGTCTTTCTATCATTGCCCCAAGCGTCAATAAGATGGACTTACTCTCTTCCTGAAATTCCAGCAAATTCATACACAGCTTCTGCAGAGATGTAAAGTTCACGTTACTCTCTGTAATTCACTGTTTCTTTTGTCATTCTTTTTAGTCCTCCTAGTACTTCCTCCTTTTGAACTTACTGGACAGATTCCAATTCCTAACATTCTTTCTGATACTCCTAACTTTAGTTAGGAAGGTTGGCAAAGTCATGGTTGTTTTGTATGAGAGATGATCTGCACTAATTTCATCAAGAGAAGGTGGTCTGAAGATCAGACCTTTGTTTTAGGTCCAAAATGAATTGCTAAATCTACTGAGTACAAAAGATTATAGCCCTTATTTCTATCCAATCCTTTCCCTTACTAAACAAATCTGGTAGACGTTACACGTGCACACAGTAATAAGACAATACCTCAAGTATACCCTAGACTACCAGTGCTGAACCTTCCCAGGTTGTGGACCGACAGTTAATCGTTCTAACTGTCAGGAAATTTCTTCTTAGTTCTAGGTTGCTTCTCTCTTTGGTTAGTTTCCATCCATTGCTTCTTGGCCTGTCTTCAGGCGCCTTGGAAAATAGCTTGACTCCCTCTTCTTTGTGGCAGCCCCTGAGATATTGGAACACTGCTATCATGTCACCCCTTGTCCTTCTCTTCATTAAAGATTAATCAATTTAATTGATGCCTTCATTTTTGTCCCTATCCCTTCCTTTAACAAAATAGTACAAATTGCAATTAAGTCTTACTGCTACACATATTCTTAAAAACTCTATTTAAATCATTTTAAAGGAGACAGAATATCACTGTTGACATACTTGTGCATGGAGAAATACAGTCTCATTAGTGGAAATGTTTGTAGTAGGGGTTTACAAAATATTTTGTTTCAAGCCAGTCTGAGTGCAAGGTTTGGAAAAATTTCTTGGAATTCGTTTTTCAAAATAAGTTATTTCTGGCATTTTAGAAGCTCTGGGAATTTGTTGAACTTGAAGCAAAGTTGATCTAAATTCAAAACATTTCCAAGGTACTTGAATTGAATTTTATGAAGATGCGTGCTTGAAGCTGTTTACAGTGAAAATGTCTTTGTATTTCTAATTTGTAAGATTGTTTCAGGTGGTTGTTTCTGCATGGATCCATTTTTATTGTCCATCTTCTGTTTCATTCCCTCTCGCTTTTATAGTTACTTTTATTTATAAGCACTTCTAAGATATTTTTCTCTCATAGTTTTTTTCTTTAAAATCTGATTTTACAATATTCTGATGTGTTTTAGTTTTAATTCTAAATAGCTTAAATCTAATAATATATTTTAAGTTTTGCAAAGGAAATGTGTTGGCACTAAGACCTCTGTATCTATTATCCAATTCTTCAAATTTGAATTTATTGTTTCCTAAATCAAAAAGTGTTAACATGATTGGACAGCATAGAAATAATTTAAATAAATACATTAATTTACAGATGATCAGAATAAGAATTGCAGTGAACCATCTTTATAATTTTTCTCAACTTTCCGTATTTAGTTTTTTTAAAAATGGTATCAGGCCTTGGTTTTATTTAGAAATGTTACATCTCCATATATCTTAGATGCTTGCAAACCATAAAACTAAGTTCTTTGGTGGAAATTCAGTATCCATGATTGATTATCTAATCTGGCCATGGTTTGAACTGATAGAAGCCTTCCAGTTACTTGAGTAAGTGCTTTGACTGTTTTATGGTTTTTGCTCTTAAATCTTGTGCCTGGTTACTTTTTCAGATTACTGCAAGGAAAGCTGTACTAGCCTCATATGTTTATTTCTAATTTCACGGAAGTAATATCATTAGGATGCAAAAGAGAATAGGAGAATCTTTTTTGTTGTTGTTTTGAATGTGTCCATTCTTCTGCCTTTGCTGCCCAAGGCAAGTAGATAAAATACATTTTTCTGAACCAGAATTTATTAGCAATTCAGTTCTGCTCAGTTTATATCATTATTTTTCTTCTCATTATTGATGCCCGTGCCCATATTTTGAATTGGGTGTGATGTAATTATGTCTGTTGACATTCTGATCTTCTGAGTTAGCAAATCAGAATTTAGAGCTTTGGAACAAACAAGAATATTGAGACAGTTTCAAACCAGAGTCTCTGTTCCTCTAATTCAAAGGTGGAAGTAGAAAGCTTTGGCTAGATTATTTTAACACTGTATTTACTTCCTACCATATGGTAATTGTCAGCAGTGCTTTTTTAGGTAGTACTTTGAAAGTTTGGGAAGCCAATCATGTATGTTGGAAACCCCTATAATTTGAACTGATAGAACTTGAAGTAATGAAATCATGGATTTGATCTAAACTACAGCTATCTGGCTATATTTGTACAACCCAAGTTGAGAACCATATATGTTTACACTTAGGAATGTAAAAAAGTGTCTCAAGCATCAATGCAGGTAGTCCTGGACTTACAACAGTGCCTTTAATGACAATTCAAAATTACAGCTCTGTAAAAAATGGACTTATAACTGTTTTTCACACTTATGACTGTTCAGCATCCTTAAAGTCACATGATCAAACTCTAGATGCTTGGGCAATTGACTCATATTCATGATGGTTGGGGTCTTGTGATCACCTTTTGTGACTTTCTGATAAGCAATCTCACTGGGGGACCCAGATTCATTTAACAACTGTGTTACTAATTTAACATCTGCAATGATTTACTTAACAACGGTGGCAAGAAAGATTATAAAATGGGACAAAACCCACTTAACAAATGTCTCTATAGCAGAAATTTTGGGTTCAATTATAGGTTGAGAACTACTTGTACATTCTCCATCCCAATTAATGATAGCAGGGCTTCAGACAAAGTTGTTTCACAGTTTTATTTGGATACTGAACCTGGATCCTTTCTATACTATTGACCTAGGTATGCCAGTGAACACTATCTTAATGGCAACAAAACCAGATAATTGCCTCAAAGTTACCTCATATCTTTTTCTGTTTTTACAGATGTTTGGACCATACTCCAGGATTAAAATGCTGGATTGATAGGATGAAGCTAGATCCAGCTGTTAAGGCTACAATAACTGATCCTCAAATCTTTAAGGGCTTTCTTGAACTATATTTCAATAATAGTATTGAATCCTGTGATTTTGGGCTCTGAAAACTATGGGAAACTTTTTCAGTGGATGACAAGGTATATTGATAGCTATTGCTCCAGCATGTCATCTGATATCTTTTATGCTTTTCTCAGTCTTGATGTGTTTTGTCATTTGCTATTCAATCAGTATATAATTGCACCAAAATAGTAATTATCTGCAATAAATGTTTTCCTTTCAAAAGGAAAATGGCCAACATTGATCAGGAAGAAACGTTTTTTTTTACCATTTTTCTACCAGTCTAAATGACAATTTTGACTTTTTAGCCTTATTTATCTGTTTAGGAGAGACGTCAAAGAACTAAATGCTTGTGAGCAAATTCAGAATTTTTCCTGGAAGGATGTTGTAAGAGAAGGGGGCAGGAGAATTCCAAGAACATTGGAAGTAGATTTATACAATCACTGGCATATTTGTATCATTAGCAAGTCAAAAGATTGAACCATGGATGCTTTACATACAAAACCTGTACTGTATTATGACGCTACAGCAGCGATTCTCAATCTTCGTGTGACGGCGACCCTGTCACACGAACACGCCGCGCATGCGTGGTGCGACGTGCATGCGTGGCGCCACCCCCATGCGGATGTGCATGCGTGGCGCCACCCCCATGCGGACGTGCATGCGTGGCGCCACCCCCATGCGGATGTGCATGCGCGGCGCTCCCCATGCGCGGTGCGCGTGCGCGGTGCCCCCATGCGTGGCACGTGTGCACAGTGCACCCCATGCGCGGCACGCATGCGCGGCGGCATCCCCATGCGCGGTGCGCATGCGCGGCGGCGCCCCCTGGGGGGGAAATGGTGGATCGCGTTGTTTCGCGACCCCCGTAAAATGGTCGATCGACCCCAAATGGGGTCGTGACCCATAGGTTGAGAACCGCTGCGCTACAGGTATTCCAATTTGTATACCCTTTTTTAGGCAACTAGATAGGAAATTTGAGCAACCTGGCATGCAAAGAAAACTATTGTCCCTAGAGCAATGGTTTTTTGGTCTGCGTAGCTATTTTGAGTCTTCTGTATTGTCTTTCAGTACGGCAGAGAGATGAACCATGACTACTTTTGAAAGCCTCTAAAAATATTATGCTCACACTTGCTAAGACTGACTACAGGTATTTTTCAGTTAACAAGCACTTATTTAGCAACTGTTTGAAGCTACAACACATTGAAAAACATGAATTATGACCAGTCTTTGCCATTACAGCATCACCACAGTCATGTGACCATGATTTGAATTCTTGGTGACTAATGTGCATTTATGATGGGAACAACATCCTCAATTGCCATTTGTGATCTTCCCAGACACTTTCAGCAAACAATATCAATATATTAGTCTAATATATTTAGATGAAATCAGATTGGGGAAGGCAACTATATAAGAAGCATTTTGTTTTGTTGACTGGCACTTAAATTGAGATCAGTATGATAAATGCACACTTCTGGTTTTCATTTACTTGTATTTATCTCAGGACATGACCTTCCATCTCAGGCTTGAACTTAACTTTGTCAGTCTCAACCATCAATTTATTGTTCCATATTTAAGTCTTTGCTTTAAATCAAAGTAAAATTGGAGTGTTAGATAGTGACTCTCTAGTTCAGGTGTTAGGATTGGCTAATCATACTTGGCCGAATAAAGCATTCAGTTCAATTCTAATTGAGAGTAGTATTCTCTTCTAATTCAGGCTCCTGTTTGCTTCAGAAAATTTTGCATTGGCGTGAACTGTGATTCGTATTGCCTTACCTGGTGCTGGTCTGTAGCAGAATGAGTATTCTCCAAGTAATAATGCTTGAAAAGCAAGTTAATCTAGATAGGCACAGTTGCATCAAACATGAATCCCCACATAAACGAGATGTGCATCTACATGGTACAAGGTTGAACACATCTTTTTGGAAATTTGTGCATGTTTATTAAAGGACAGTTACAGGTTCAAAATAATAAAACAATGAACAGGTCGGACATAGAAACTTTTATGTATTTAGAAACTTTTGTGTATTTTCATTTGTTATTTAGAAAATGACTTTTGGCAAAAATAGCTTCTGTAAATATTTCCTGTAAACAGCTGAAGCAGGGATGTGAAACTGCCGGCCCGCGGGCCGGATGTGTCACCTGGAAGCCACGCCCACCCAATTGCCGGCAAGGGCAAAACTGTCCCGATATGTTGCGACATCGCGAGTTTGACATGTCTGAGCTAAAGTAACTATTCTTGTTTCTGGAATTCTTACTTGTAGAACTTGTCCCGTTCCAAAATATCTTAGATCTCTTTGCACATACTGTGTGTTGGAGATCTCCAGATTTTTAATTAATGTTCAAGCTGCGGACTGTGAAGGCCATGGCAAAATATTTATCTTTTAGTCATTTAAATATTGTATAATAAGGTAGGCTTCAGATCAATATTGGACTAAAATATCCACTTTCAGCTTCAATTTCTTTATTGATTTTGAGACTTTTAGTTGAATCCATATTTGCTTCCATTTGCACATCTTTTCCTGCGGCATTGGTTGCCATAGAACCTCTCAAAAATTTTGGGCTGCCTGGTTGCTAAACAGTTGGGAAGGTTTTCTTCAAATACTTCACTATTTTTTTTCTCCAAATGTATCTTGTGCATCTGTGAATGAAGAGTTTAGCTGGTTCATAAATTTGAAGAGCATCTAATGTCTAAAACATTTCACATTTACCTAGGTTTTCTTTTACATACATAGACAATGACTTTTGTGCAATGTTTGGAGAAAAGGTTTCCTTTTGACACATGCAGATTGTGGTTATATAAGCAATACTATACTACAATGTGGACTAGTACTGCAGGGCCAGCTAAATTTCCAGTGATTTACGAGTTCTGGATTCTACTAGGGGGAGGTTGTAGCTAATATTTTTCTTGATATTTGATATGGTGTCTTCTACAATTCCATGTAATTTCAATTTCTTAATGTGTCTCACAGCTGCAAATGCTAACTAGAAAATGTTTCAAAATATTCTTTTCCCGCTTTGTAAGTGAATTATCTTCATTTTCAAATGCCTAGACACTATTTATAGCTGCTCATGTTTCTTGAAGGTAGAAAGATCAATACCACCCGAGGAGCTATTTTTTCATTTGTGGAATTGTCTTAAATGGGTAATTTAAGTCTAATGAATCAATTACATTCTGAAGGCTTAAGGCAGGGGTGTCAAACTGCCGGCCCACGGGCCAGTTTCGTCACACAGGAGCGGCACCCACCCCATTGCCGGCAATGGCAAAAAAGCTCCGATATGTTACGCAACGTCACGTGACGTCACGAGTTTGACATGTCTGGCTTAAGGACTTTACTGCCAAGACAAGAAAAAAAAAAATCAACTGATTAAACATATGCACTTGCTCTATTGTTTTCTTAATTTAAACTTATAAATAATCCCATGTAAATTGCAAGTTATGAATTCAAATTTGCTGAATGCAATGTTTACCTTGTAGTATGTAGATGGTATCAACTCTTGTTTACTTAGGGATCCTGTAAGGGGTATGAATTGTTTATAAAGTACTTGGCATGCAAATGTATATCAGAGCTTGTCACAAAATTACCTTTGTTTGGTTCAACACTATGCTATGAAATGGAGCCAAGTTTGGTGCTCCTTTCTTACACTCAAAATTCTTTAATTCTTAATGCATTTCTTTGTATCAGGCCCTGGATGGTAGATCTTGAATGCTAGTTAAAAAAAGTTGTAGAACCTGCAAGTCTCAGGTCTGCCCATCTCAATATAGGCAAATCTGAGTTGAATGAATGGGCATTTTGTATAGATATAAAGCAATTTTTAATCTCTATAAAATTAAAATTCAAAGTTGTATTTGCATTGCTGTAGAAGGAAATATGAAATAGAAATAACTATGTGAGTAATAGAGCTACATTTAAACGGAGTCTAAAGGTATAAAGTCAAAATCAATTTAATGAACCCACATCAAGTAGAAAACACTTTGAGACTACCTTATGTTCAGACATGTTTTGTGAACTTTTGTTTCAGCCTGCAATGTGGGAAGTTTGCCAGAGGGAGGGGAAGGTGTGGTGCTGGGAACACTGCAAAAAAAAACAAAAACAAAAAAAAAAATTTGTTAGGTATACTTTTTATTGTATGGCCAAGAATCCTGTTGATGATTTAAAAAACGTGCCAACTTAAGAAAGCAATTTAAACAGACCATTGCTCTACCTTGCAGAGATTCTTGCCATTCTTGCCAGGAGTTTTAATAATTGAATATGCTAAGAACTGAATCTGGAACTTTCTATATGCACCTTCTACTCTATGTTATTTCTAAGATATCTGTGTGTACTATCAAATCTTCATGCATGATATAAAAAATCAAATACACACAAAACTTAAGTTCAAAAATAATAACTTTAGATACCATAAAACTGTGAGCTTTCAAATTGCAGTTTGTGAGGAGCCGTGCACAAGCTCACCATCTTTGCTTACGTAAAGCAAGATGGGTCACTCAGTGGCACAGACTTGAGCAGGAGCTCCTGGAAAAGGCATGTTTTTCCTAAGACTGCAGGCAGCCATCCTCCTGTATATCATGCCCAGCTGGAAATATACCGAGTATGACCCCAGAACTTCTACCAAAGTGTCCCATCCTCCCTCCAAAAAAGATTTAATATCTCCAGTTTAGGACAGCACAAGATCCATAATTGTTATTTTTATTACAGATGTCATTTTAAAGTTAAGTTTAGAAAAGAAGGAGGAAAAAAAACAAAAAGGAGACTATAAAGAATTTGTGTGTAATACTTAATTTTTTTGTTGAAATGTTTACAAAATATTTTACTTATTAAATGTATATAGGAGTTGACTCTCGATAACTGTAGGTGGCTAACAAGTAAAAATCATTTTTTGAAAAGCAGCAGAGGGCAGGACAAGAAAACAAAGGTTGGAAACTGATCAAAGAGAGAATTAAAGAGAAACTTCCTAACAGTGAGGACAAGTAACCAGTGGAACAGATTGCCTTCAGAAATCGTGGGTGCTCCATCCCTGGAGGTTTTTAAGAAGAGACTAGACAGTCACTTGCCTGAAATGATATAGGTTCTCCTGCTTGAATGTAGAGCTGGATTAGACCTCCAAGGTCACTTCCAGCTTTATTCAAATACAAGCAAAAATAGGAGATAAATATAGCAAAAAGACAGAACTAAACTGGAACAGAAAGAATCTGAGAGCTTCCCTCACATTCTCTAAAGGTCTGGGAGAACAGCCCAGTCTTGAAGCCCTTCAAAACACCAGTAAGGTGGGGCCATCTGGATCTTGTGGGGAACCTTGTTCTAGAGGGCAAGTGCTTCTATAGAGAAGAGGCACTTTTGGGGTTTCAATAAATGGCATTAACTGAAGGAACCTACAGCGTGCCAATCCTGTCACATTGAATCAGTCAGATACTGTGAGAGACAGGTGGTCCTTCAAGTAACGATGCCATGCCAGTCTTTATAAATAAAAACCAGTAAGTACCTTTAATTGCACCCATAAACTGGCAACCAACACAGCTCACGAAGCAAAGATGTTACATGGGCATACTGAGGCATATCCATCACCATCCACACTGTTGAATTCTGGATCAGTTGAAGCTTATGGGCATGGTTGATTATAATTTTGTTACCAGTGATTAGCGAGTTTATAACCCATAAATATGTATATGTAGAGCCAGTAAGGTATAGTAGTAATAATGTTAGGCTAGATAAGGCATGTCAAACTCGTGATAATGTATCGCGACTTTTTCCCCATTGCTGGCAATGGGGTGGGTGCGGTTTTGGCGTGACGCATCCGGCCCGCAGGCCAGCAGTTTGACATGCCTGGGCTAGATTGTATTCTAGTCCTGCTTTAGGTATATCCCTCTCTCTTAACCCTAGGAAGAAGTGGTAAATCACTTCTCAAAATGTTGCCAAGAAAACTACAGGGGGCAGTTGGCAGCAAGGATAAATAATTTCAGGGCCCAACTTTTAAGTGTGTATGTAACATACTCTTACTTTCAAGTTTATATAATCTGTAAATATACAAATATTTTAACATGATATGGGTATTTACATTTTACTCATATATTTATATTGTGGTACACAAATTTGTAGTCAGTTTGGAAAAAGCTGCACAAAACTCCCCCCTCCCCCCTTTATAGCATGTCAGAAATTAGAGAGAACGTTGGTTTTACTACTCAGTTACTATATGTTTTTGTTTTTTGTTTTGGCTTATTGCATGTGTATAGACCATGCTTATAGCTTAAAATGACATGAAAAAGGAATACTCATCTTTAAAGAGAGCCTATGTATTCACATTTCTTGAACCATTTTTCTGTGTTTTCTATGAATTCAGCCTTGCTTTCTTATAACTTTTGAGATAAGCAAAAGTTTTAAATTTGTATTTACTAAAACTTTAATAAAGCTTTTCACAGATGTTCAATGATACCCTGAAGAAAGGAACTCGTGGATATTTTACAACATATTTTGTTTCTCCTGAGAGACTTTGTTCAAGTGACAAAACTAGAAATAGTGCTGACAGGGAAAGATGACAGTTATTTTCCACTTCCACCATGTAATTACTTAAAATAACTGGAGACACAGAGGGCTGTTTAATAGACCTATTAACTGGAGCCTGTGTTTTACAAGGAATCAGTTATATAGCAGATTGTTGACATGAATAGAGGAAACATTTTTAAGTGCAAAAATTGCCTGCAAAAAAGAATGCTGTCAGAAAATGGATATTCTAATACCATTGATGGCACAAAGAAATTTTCAGTCTTTTTAGCAAAGTCCAGTTTTCCAGAGTCATGGTTTTTAAAAATGTAGATAGACATAAAATTTTCCAAATTTTTCCTATTGGGATTTGCATTATAGAATTTCCTTTTAAAAAAATTATGTTTTATGTGCCACCCCCCCTTTATCGATAGACATTCATATGACTGCTTTGCTCAACAACCACAATCCTGACACTCCCAGTTTTGTTCATTGAGCAATCTCTTAGATCGTTAAGTGGACAGGATGAAATTGCTGCTTGCCAGGATTTCAGCTTCATGCTAAAATTTCAGATCTCCACGCATGGAGGAAAAATCCTTCCGTGGGCTGCAGAAACCATGCTGAAATTTTCAGGTTTTGAGTGCCATTTCTGTAGCCTTCAGGATTTGGGCTCCCCTCTATTCCCTCTACAGTACTTGCAAATGTCCTTGCCAGCTTCCCCACTGACTTTCTGGGAAAGCTAGTGAAGATTGTAAATGGCAATCACTTGATCATGCAGTGTTTGGTAACCAGTTGTAAATGGGAGCCCCCTCCCAAGGGCCTAAAATGCAGTCGTTATGGGGTAGGGGGAACATAGCATTTTATGATGGCTGAAAGTGTTTACGGGCAGAAAAACATTCTTTCCAAGGATACCATAACTTTGAATGGTGGTTAAATGACCAGTCATAAATCAAGGACCATGCGTACTGTACATTTGATAAGATTGCCATACTATTTTATGTTGGGAGACTGGACTTGTTCAACTTTCATCCTCATTCTAAACAAAAGTCTTAACAAACAGCCGTGCCCCATTTTACAGTGAAAGAGCAGCTATTTATATGGGGGTGGGTGGATCAGATATATATGATGGGTGAACAGATCAGATATACATTAGGAAGCTGTTTCCAGTAGAATCTACTGATCAGAACTGGAATTTATTTTTTATTGCCTATTTAAGTTGAGATCCCTTAGAAATAAGCTGTTCCAAATTTAGTAGGACCTGCTTCTAAAGGCGTAATTTGGAATTGCACTGTCAAATGCAGGAAGTTATACTGAACCATATGTTTTGCTACATATATCTAAACCAGACATGTCAAACTCGCGACATTATGTGATGTCGTGCAACGTTATCGGGTCGGTTTTGCCATTGCCGGCAATGGGGTGGGTGCGGCTTCCGGATGATGTGTCTGGCCCGCGCGCGGGCTGGCAGTTTGACACCCTGATCTAAATGAACTTAAAATTACATTTAAAAAATCACGATAGTAGAGCTTTATGCCAATGGGAGCAGAACAAGACTGAAGATCTATTACTTAATTGTACATCCTTCTCTCATTAAATATGTTAGACCTTGTAAATAAGGCACTCTTTTTCAATCTGGCTACTGTACTTTGCTACAGCAGCAATAATAAAACACTTAACACAGATTCTACTATATTTCTAAAACTGTAATATAATAAATATATAAAAAATGTTTTTTCCTTGTTTAAATTCATTACAACAAAGAGATACACAGTGATAAAAATGTTAAAGAGTACATAAATATCAGCCAAGATCATTGGAAAGAAAATGAAAATGGTATTTGTTATACAGCCATAAATTTTACATGTATACATCTTCTCCCATGGGGAGATTTGCATATATGGTATGTCAGAGAAGGAGCTGTCAGTGCAGCTCTTTATTTAGTGGAGTTGCCTGTCCATTTGGAACATGCATGGAATATTCACTAATTAAAGCTGATGTATTTTTAAGCATTTCGTGGAACATGTCCATAGTTTTTCTGTAAGTACTTCGTTCCAGTACAAAGGGGCGGAAAAGGTTCAGTGGTTCTGCCTTTTGGAACTCCACTGGAACACCCAGTTCCTGTGGCAGATTTCTATTTCCAATGAAAAAGTGGTAAAGCCTTTTTTCTTGCAAGCTTTTCTCCAAAAAGTTGAGTACATCTTGCAGCCTGGCCTCCAGACAGTCAGAAGCCCATGCTGAACTAGGATGGATTTGTAGCAAATGCAGGATTATTGTTTTTAAATGGTAGTTTGTCAAGCTACTTGGTTCTGTTAGACTGCACTGCTTTCCATGAAGGAAAGACAAAATCTGGAGGCAACTGAGGTGGCAAGGATTAGCAGGCAAAGTCTTGGAAATAAACTGGATATATCTCTTCTCATACACAGTAAAGGTGAGAAACCAGTGAGTATTGCTGGTGGAACTCTGTGCCAAGCTGTTGAATGGAAAGTGAGAGATAAAATATACATCAGAATCTGCATATTGTACCACAGGCCTGAGATTGAATGTGATCGTTTTTCCAGACCTGAACTTAATTTTCAGGGCACCTGGAGCATCCAGGTGATTGAAAATAAGACTGAATTCATACTTGTGTGCAATTTTATTCCATCCCCTGGTAAGTGCCATCTGGAACCACGTCATAACCTGGTCAGAATCAAGATACTGAGTGTCTTTGAAGCAAAGGAGATCTTCCACATGGTTATTCTGCCTAGATTGGCTCACTTTGCTATGAAGTAGACAAAGTAAATCTTCTCCCAATTTAGTTTTATCACAGATACAACTTGATGAGTTATCATCTGTCCGGCTGATCTTTATCATACCATAACTTTCTTTGTCCGGTAGAATAGACTCTCCTGAACACCAACTCTCAAATTGGAAACAGTATGGCTCTGGAGGATTAAAGGGGACAATGAAATCACAAGTGAAAGGCTTGTTTGCTCTCCAGTTTTCGTACATGCTCCCAACTCCTATAGACTCTTCCACTTCCATGTCAGTATCTCGATTACACATGCTTCTCAAAGCTTCTAATAAGTCATCTGCAAAGCCTTCCACAAGTTCTCGGTTCCTAGCAATATCACTTGTTACATTCTGGAGGCATCTTTCATAAAAACTGTCCAATGTGACTTTGTCTGGTAGAATAAAACCTTTGAATGTTCTTCCCAGAACATTAATTTCATCATCTTCTTTAGTATAATCTTGCCAGTTCCCTTCCTGGTAATCCTGTCTCCAGAATTCAATCAGAAGGAAGACTATCATGGACAATGCAGTCCAGAAATTCCAAGAAAGTGAATCATGGTCGTACTGTTTTTCTGGTCCAGTCTTCTCCTCTGAGGAATCCACTGAAACTTCTTGTGCTGCTAATTCCTGCTCCAGTTTCAGCTGCTCTAACCTCAGGTTCTCCTCACGCTCTTTCATCTTTTCAATGATTTCTTCTGTGTTTTCAAAAACAGTAACATTTTCCTTTGGGAAGAGAAATGGATGGTTGACAATAGCTGTGATTACCACCAAGCACACCCGGAAGAATCCAGCCGGCATAATAAAATCTTATCTGTGAGAGAGACAGAGAAATATAGTTAGTTTTGCTGATAATGGCACATAGATATGAAGAAGGATATTACTGGCATTGCTGAAATAACTGTCTAGCACTTTTCTTTTCTCTAGTATATTTCAGGAATTTACTTAAAGAGAACAGGTACTACCAAGAGAAAAATATCAATTTCAAGCAAAATTTAATTATAAACTACACAAGAAGATTAAAGGAAACACATGGCAATGTTCATTTTGCCAATGCTCCATTTAATATTGCTACAATGATGAAGTGTATGAAGATTGTTTCCATTGGTGTCAAAAGACCACGGTAAATTTATTTTTTGGTTAATGAGATACTGTACAAAAATATGATTCCTGTGAAATTTCAGAAGGAACAAAAAACAGAACAAAACAAAACCCCTTAATTGATTGTATATATGTATGTCCTAAGGCTGTATTAGTTCTTACTGTTTTTCATGTTGATCTCTCATCTGGGCATCATTAAAAGGCTAACAACTGTGTGCATTCTAAAATAAGAGGAAAAAAGAGCTTTCTTAAGATAGAAAACTGTATTACCTCTCCTAGTACAAGTACACTGTATTTACAATAGCCTTAAACCCCTATTTATTTCCCCTTTGTATTTATAACTGTTTTGCTTTTAAACTTTCATTGAGTCAAACATTCTTCAGTGAGGAAATTGCTAGCTTACATAAGCATTTCAATTACTCACACGTGTGTGAACTGATTAATACTTCTTATTTTTCATAAAGCACTATCTACAGAAACTGATCTTAGATCATTCACATAAGCAACTTAAAATGGATATAGTATTTTATGTTATAGTATTATGCAACCAACACTTTACATATGAAACAGTTCTGGCTAATAAATCATATTAGTTTTAATATATCTGTCCTCTAAAAAGCATAGGCTAGAGTTTCAATCAGACAGCAGTTATGAAAACTGGATCTAAGTGAGTAGCCATGCAAATTATGAAGTAAGTCATGGTAGCCAGTCATCTGACAACTCTGTCAGGCAAGAAAATCTCTTGAAATTGTTGCTCTGGTTATTAATAAGGTCCTGGACTTAATTAAAAATGCTTAAAGCAGACTTAAAGCTCTTTAGAATGCAGCACTGAACTGAAATAGTTCAGGCAAAGCCCTGTCAAAATCATTTAGATAATGATTTTGTCTTGCTCCATTCATTTAGATAAGGCCTGTTTTAGGTCCTCCTACAAATGAAGTTCATGGAGAGTGGGCCAGAGGATAAGACCTTCTCAGTGGTGGCTCCCATTTTATTGAAGACTCTCCTACTAAAGGAAAGGACAACTCCTACTGTATACAGGTAGTACTAAGATTATGATCACTCATTCAGCGGCTGTTCAAATGTTCATGACAGCACTGAAGGAAGGGGACTTGTGATTGGTCTGTAAAATTTCAGCTCTTGCAATATTCTCATGGTCATTATTCAGGTACTTGGCAACCAGCTTGTAATTACAGTACAATGGTTGCAGCATTCTACAGGCACATGATTGTCATCTGCTACACAAGGAAAGTCAATAGGAAGTCAGCAGGTCGTTAAGTCGCTCCCATTACTTTTTTGCTTCCTCATGCTTCTTAGTGCCTGGCCATGGCATCTGCCCATGCTCTGTAGTTTGCTGCTTGCAACAGTTGCTTTCTGGGACAACAACCAACCCATTTACCCATTCATGCTCCATAGCACCTGCCTGTAGCACCCACCAGCCCTTCTGTGGCTTTAACCTATAGCTCTCACCCATCAACCTACTTGCCTGAGGTTCCTGCCTTTCCCCAGATCACAGTATTTCCTGGATTGCTGTTGCTATGCAATGGGGCCATGTGGCATCTCCTGCTTTACAACCACATTGCATAGTGATGGAAATTCCAGTCCTAATTGCTATCATAACCTAACCACTACCTGTAGTCATTTTGAAAATTAAAAAAGCATTTTCCAGGGGCCATTTGGCCTTTATGTTAGTTTTAACTAAATGATGCTTATGTTGTGCTGGATTTTTATTTATTTTTATTGTGCACATGTGACTTTTAATGTTTTTGTCTTGATTTTGTAACAACATTGTAGAGTCACAGTTGATGTTTGATTTTTTCCCCAAGGATGGCCCCACAAATACATGAATAAATCTAAATTATCTAAATGAGTAGCTAGATTATTAATTATTAAATTTATATGCTACCTATCTTGCAGTTCAAGGCAACTCTGAGAAGCTTATAATGTAATAAAAACACAGATAAAAACAGTTATAAATATAAAAACAGATTAAAATTACAAAATATTAAAACAAAAATATTAGAGCGGAGCAGTGATGCTGTCTTCTTGTGTTAATGAACCAACCACCTCTAGCCAACAATGGAACAATGCATTCTTATGGCCAAAACTATCTTCCCCAAAGCTGAGACAGACAGAAGAGTCCTAATTTCATCCTCAAGGGATATTATCACTATTTTGAAGTTGTGTGCAAATAAGAACAATTAGTAATCTTCACATGACTGAATATAGTATAATATAGTAATCATTAGGCCTGGAAACACCAAGTTCAAATCCACTATGACTATGGTAATATAGTGGGTCACTGCTTCTTAGCTCAACCTATTTCATGAGCTAGTGTTCTGGGGATAAAATGAAGAACACCCCCGTCCCCCAACTATCTTCCAAAACCTGGAAAAGATAGGAGACAAATAAGCAAAAAAATTCAACATCAAACCTTCCACTACCAACTGGATCTCAGCTTTACATTCCAAAAGTGCCATGTTTATTATGGAAAGAACATTTGGGAGTTGGTGCAGTTATCCATTATTGGCAGGCTCTACCTCAGTCTGTGCCAACCTGGATGAGCTGGAACAATAATTGTCAGGATCCCCAACCAAAATGGCCAATTCTGAGAGTTGCAGTCCCAGATGTCCATGTGGGGAAGGCTGTTCTGTATCATGTGAATTGCTTCAGAAAAGCACAGGATTGAATAAATTATGGAAAGAAAATCACAATTTCTGTTATCTGTGAAGCAGAATTCAGATGACTATATGTAAAGGACTAGATAAACCTGCTCTTGCAGATCCTGAGAAGCAAAAAAAAAAAAAAAAAAAAAAAAAAACAGATTTACTTGTTATATCACTGGTATGCTGGATTTTCCTAGCGAAATGATAAATTGCAGAAGATTCAGAGACTATTGCAAACCAGAATTCTAGAGGCAGGGGCTTACAAACTACATTTTAACAACAAACAGAGGGAATTGGAACAAAAAAAAAATGAATGTTGCCTATTGCGATTATATGTATTAGATTTTTATATAATAGGTGGAAAAAAGGAAGTTTTGCCAAGAATTTAGAGAGATAGAGCACAATGGTATAAATTTGGTGATCCAGAAAGGGCCCTGAAGGATGACGACCTTTTAACTGATCACTACCAAAAGCATACTGATCCAGGGTGAGGCATGTTAGCTGCTGGCTTGACTTAGAAAACAAGAAATATATGAAATGTGTGTGGAAGTAGGTTATTTAAATAGGGAATAGTCAAAGATTATGTGTTCAAATTCAGCTGCTTGGAATGGTGCCTAAGTCTATCATCTGCCTAGCTAATACAGCATTATAAGTTTTCTTGCATTACAAAAATATTTGGTTCCTTTATATATTTGTGTACTTTCTGAAACAAAATGCTTCACTCTGCAGTGTAGCAAGCTTGGCTTGAGGTTATACTTTTAAATACAAGTAGCAGCCAAGGCAGTTCAACAATTATGACTTGGGATTCAGTCTGGGGAGATTTAAGTTCAGATCTACTCTCAGTCACTAAAGGAACTGGGCTGGTTGCTATTCTCATCCCAGCCCACCTCATACAGTTATTTTGGAGGAAAATCAGATGAAGTACTAGTTAAGTACAGAAACTTGAAATCCTGGGCAAATTATGGAATATAATTCATAAATATAAACAAGAATTAGGCCACCTTTGCTTTGAACATGTAATAGTCCAAGAAAAATAAAAACCTGTTCCTGGTTTGGGATAATTTTCATAAGATACTCAGGAAAAATTAGATATCTAATTTAAAGGAGGGGTCCCCAACTCCCGGTCTGTGGCATGCCGGAAACCGAGCTGCATAAACAAGCAAAGCCCCATCCATTGGATGCAGGCAGCACACGAAACCACATCTCCGGTGCACAGAAAAATCTCTCTCCACGGAACTGGTCCCTGGTGCCCAAAAGATTGGGGGCCTCCAATTTATAGGGCAGATATCTTTCTCTCCACCCAATGTCACTGAGGAGTTTAAAAATTAAGCTAGAAATTACATAGTCAGTCTGCAATCTTTATCTGTTCACAAAAAATCTCCAGGATTTCCTTTTCTGGGCTGTTATTAAAAATAGAATAGTATGCAGTATGCATGCATTGAGAAGCAAATATAACACTGCCAGTGCTATCCTCTCTGAGGCATCGTGATCTCAGACCAGAGCAAATGGATGTGGTGTGATTAGGAAGCACTGTGTCTAATTAATAAGATTATAAAATAATTTAAATAAAGATTAGAGGGCAAGTTTTCATGGCCATTGAAATTATTTTGGGATACAGCTGTGAGAGACAATGAATATAAGCTAATATTTTGCAAGTGACTATCAACCTACATTCATTGCCTCACACAGTATTATCCTGAACTAATTTTAACAAAGCATAATTGTACATAATTAAGATGTGAAAAACAATGTGCATTTAAACAGGTCCAGCAGTGGCTCTTTACAAACATCCCATCAGGCTGATGGAACTTTTTGGTTGGTCTGCCCCAAATGGATGATGAATTTTGATGTATACATGAAGGTGTTTATAGTTCTCCTGATAGCTTTAATGGGCAGTTCTGGTTTTGGATGTAGTTTTGAAAAGCAATCCCCATAGCAATCCCAAGAAGACTATTAATTAACAAAAGAACTTAGGAAAATGAAGTGGTTGAAAAGATGTCTAGATTGATGCTGGCAGAAAGCCAAAAAGAATGTGACTAAGCACTGGTAA